TAGAAGGGGAGAACCAACTCCACAAAATTGTCCTCTGATGGTTATACTCTTTCAGTGGCAGACACATACCCTCTCTGATACACCACACACACACACACACACACACACACACACACACAAATAAATAATGATAATAATAATAATAATAGGCCTAAATTTGGAATAACCCTAATGTCCCAATTGGTGGATGATTAAACAAATTGTGGTAGATGCATACTGTGAGATGCAGCTCAACAATTTAGGGAAATAAATCTCTTTAAAAATCTGTATACTCGGGGCTGGAGAGATGGTTCAGTGGTTAAGAGCACTGGCTGTTCTCATAGAAGACCTGGGTTCAAATCCCAGCACCCACATGGCGGCTAATAACCATCCATAACTCCAATTTCAAGAGATCCAATGCCTTCTTCTGTCCTCTGTGGGCACCGCATGCCATGGGTGCACTTACATACATGCAGACAATACCCTCATACACATAAATTTAAATAAGTAAATAAATACATTTTTTAAAATCTATATACTCAATTTGAATGGATCTCAGAGGAATTCTGAGAAAACCAAAACAGCAATCTCAAAATGTCAAGACCATATGATGTGACTAGCAAACATGCTTGAAATGAAAATTACAGAGATGCAGATGAGATTTGTGGTTGCCACAGGCAAGGGTGGATGTGTATGTGTCTGGGAATGGGGAACACAAGGACCCTCATGGTGATGGGGCATCCGTGCTGTGACTGTGGTCGTTAAGGAATTTACTCATGTGAAATGGCATAGCACTGAACCCTCACCCACACTGCACGTACATAAACGAGCATGTATGTAACTGGAAAACTCTGAATAGGGTCTGAGGACTGTAACAAAGTACATTTCCTGGACCCAAGATTATACTGTAGGATTGTAAGGTATTACTAAAGGAGGAGACTGGGTGAGGGCAACACAGAACTTTGCTGTACAATTTTTTCTCATGCACCTGTGAGTTTGTCTTTTTTTTTTTTTTTTTTTTTTTGCCAAATTAGAAGTCAAAAAAGAAATGCCTAGGGAAAAGATGGTGTGGTGGTTAAAAACGCTTCCTGCTTTTCAGAGAACCAGAGTTCTGTTCCCAGCACCCACATCAGGCACAACTACCCACAACTCCAGCCCCAGGGGATCCAATGCCCTCTTCTGGCTGCCTCACACACATACTCAATAAAAATAAAAATAAATCTTAAGAAAAATAAAAAAGGACCAGAAATGTAGCTCAGTGGCAGAGGACTAGCTTAGATGCACAAGTCCATAGGTTTGATACTAGCAATGAAGAAAAAAAAAAAA